CGGATCAACCTGACTGTTGCGTCTTGACGATCCTGAATCGTGCCAGAACGCCATTTCTGGGACTTCAACACAGCGAGCAAACGTAACTGTGGCACCGCTCTAATCCGGAATCTTGCCAAAACACCATGTGCGGTACGTTGATTATGAGGATCTGTGAAACCCTTGCAATCGTTTAAACAACAAAAAATGCGCGCGGCGCTAAGACGAGAACCACATGTTGAAACGGAACCGCCCTCGATCCGCGAAACTCTTGCACATCTTTGCATCGAATGTGCGCAGCGCTAAGACGAGAGCCTCATTTTGAGAAACCCCTGTACATGTTTAAAACGAGTGTGCGCGGCGCTAAAGCGAGAGCCACGTTGTGAAAAGGAACCGCCCTCAATCCGTGAAGCTCTTGCAACAATTGGAACGAATGTGAACGGCGCTAAGGCGAGGGCCTCATTTGAAAACGACCCGCCCTCAATCCGTGAAACTCTTGCACATGTTGAAAACGAATGTGTGCGGCGCTAAAGCGAGAACCACAGTTTGAAAACCACCCGCCCTCAATCCTTGAAACTGCTGCTACTTCTTGAGCTTCAGGGTCATAAATGGTGAAGACGTCTCAGGCGAAACGCCAGACCCGCCCTGAAAACAGGCCTCGGAATGCGACAGGGGAAACAATAGTTATGAGGAAAAGGAATGGAGGAGGCGGAGAGGAGGAGACGGAGGAGGAGGAGGAGGCACGGCGGGAGAGGAAGGGGAGAAGGCGGAGAAGCGGGAGGATTACGTGTTGGTTGTTGTTTGCTCCTGTCGCCTCCTCCCCATACTGTTTGACAGGAGCAAGCTCTGCGCCCTATAGGGCAAGCATCTTCATCCTAGCCTCCCATGCCTTTCTTTTTCTGCTGCGCCTGCCCGGCATAACCTGTAAGCCTCTAGGCCTAAGTCCACTCAGCATCAAAAAAGGAGGAGGAGAAGGAGGAGGAGGAGGCACGGCGCCCAGCAGTCCGATGCCCTAAACACGGGCACCAGCTGGAACCAGAAATCAAGAAGCGTGTTCCATCTTACCCTAAACTCTAATCACGGAACGGTCAGAAGTCGACTGCCACGTCATGCTGCTGTTTTGGGCTCAAGGCCAAGAGGGCTGAAACAAAAACGGCCGCACTACATCGATGATGTAGTGAGAAGGCGGGTCTTGGGGCGAACCCTCTCCTGGACCTCGACAGCTTGTCTTCGAGTAGCGGCCACGGTGCGAGGCTCGGAAGGGGGCCCAGCGCAATCTGCAGTCGGAGGAGGAAGGGGAGGAAGAGGAGGAAGAGGGAAGAGGGGTGGGAGGAGGAGAGGAGGATGAGGAGAAGGAAACGGAGGAGAAGAAAGAGTATGTGGCTGCTTGAATGAAGGGGGACAGTAGCGGGGGGGGGGCTGGCTCTTAAGGGGGGGCTCAAGAAGGCGTGGGGGACATCGGCACGGAATCGACGATACATCGCCGATACATTGGCGATAGCCCCCCCATCGCGAATCCGCACGTCCCTGGGCGGGTTGGGCTATCGGGCTCTTATCGGCGATAAGTGGGCGACTGGGGGCCGACGCACCCCCCCCGAGCTAATCCCCCCGAGCGTTGCCCCTGGAAGCCCTCGGGGGACGAAACGCTTCCGTCAGACAATCCCGATGATGGGTTTTGCCAGGGCGGGTGTCCGCAAACATCGGATCGGCGAGTACCTTCATCATCGGGCAAACTATCCTGTAACATCCGCCGAGCACTGCGCTCGAGCTCCGGGCACGAGGACATCGGAAAACGCCAGGCAATCCAGATCCAGAGAGAACATGGTAAATTCGACGTGCCAGAAACCATGTTTGACCCCGCCCCAGTTCGACGGCGCTCCTGCTGGCAAGCTGGGCTCTTGTCCGTCTGAGGCGCCCGCTGGAAAAAGCCGCAGCCTCAGGACCTGTTTCTCGACGAGCGCGTTCCACTACTCGCAAAGTAACTCCTCGCAAATGGCCTGGATCCCCCGCGGGGGATCCACGATGAACCACATCAAAGCAAGCATGTGTTTCTCGGACGCTTGCGAGTAGGCACTTTGCGAGTAGTGGAACGCGCTCGGCGAATTTCCCTCGGGACCCGCTTCCCCCACGGCGACGTGCGGCCCTCGAGGGGCGCCGAGGGGCCGCCGGCACCCGCTCGAGCCCTCGCAGGGCGGGCCCCTTGCCGAGAGCCGAGGTCGTCTCCGGCCGTGGGGGGGCGGGAAGCCCGGGGGGGCGAACGAAGAGAGGGGGCGGGCCTCCTCTCTGAGAACCTTGTGCAGCGAAGCTGTCCTCCTCTCAGGAGGGAGCGGGGCGTCCTTCTGAGCATCTTTGTGCAGTGAGGTTCTATCCACCGCCTGGGGTCCGACGTCCTGGTGCCCCAGCGGGCGGTGGATATGGATATGTTTCGGCCCCCGGAGGTCCGAATATGTCCATATCCACCGCCTGCCGAGGCTCCGAAAACTGACCCTCCAGGCGGTGGATACGGACAAATTCCTGCCTCAGAGAGAGGGGGCGGGCCTTTTTCAGAAGGAGGCGGGGCGTCATTCTGAGCATCTTTGTGCAGTAAAGCTGTGCGGCGTCGGCGCGCGCAAAGGTTTTTGACGCCGCGCTGATCGTTCAACCTTGAATCGATCGCGGCCCCGATCGTTCAAGGTTGAATTCAGTCGGGTCCAACGGCGTTACCGTGTCCATCGGTGCTTCCGCGTCGCAGCATTCAACATTGAACGCTTTCGCTGGTGTCGCCGGCACGCCAAGGCCGCATGAACCTACAGTAAGCCGTCTCTGGAGCCACAGACGGCTTTTCGGAAGGCTCTGAGAAGCCCCGCCGCCCTCTGAAAGGCCTGCCCCCTCTCACGTCCCCCCCAGAGCCCGCCGACGAGTCCTGGGTCGGGGGATGGAGGAGCAGCGCGTCAGTGCGGCGGCTCCGGCGACACGCTGTGCCCTGCGAGCGGATACAGAATGTCGCTCCTCGCCGCGGGACGGGATCCTTGGAAAAGCTCGGGGCGCTTTCGCTTGGGAATGGGGACGTGGACATCGTGTCGGACCGAAGCATGGTGGACCAGTACCGGCAGAGCGACACGTTAACTCAAAGGTCCTGACCGTAGACTCAAGCAAATTTATTTGCATTGCGTTTCCCCCGCGCCGCCCGCCGGCCCCTTCCGCCGCCTTTTCAAGCAGCGCTGGGCCGAAAAGGCGTGCAAGTGAGCCCTGGCTTGCGTGAAGTCCAGATTTCCTCTCGGGCCTCAACCCGCCCCCCCCCCTAGCTGGAACCCCGTCCTCTCGGGCCTCAGCCCTGTCACCCTCTCTACGCCATAAGCAAATACACTAGCTGGAGCCACAAGTAAAACACCCGCGGGGAGGACCCAACATTTTCCCCAAACAGGCGTTGCCTCAGGGGGCCTGGGCCTGGGCCAGCCGTCATTCCCAGGGTTCCGTGGTCTTGGTTCCTTGGTTCTTTGGTGTTGGTTCCTTTCTGCCTTCCTCGGGTCTGGGTCCAGGCCTTGGTTCCTTTGTTCCTTGGTTTTGGTTCTTTGATTCCTTGGTCTTGGTTCCTTGGCTCCCGGGTTCCTTGGCTCCTTGATTTCCTGGTCTCGGTTCCTTGGTTCCTTGGTCTGATTCCTTGTTTGCCTGGTCTTGGTTGTTGCTGCCTCGCCACGCAGTGCCAACCACTGCCAAGCAATGCCAAGCAATGCCAAACAATATGCCAAGCAGTGTACCAAGCGATAGGCCAAGCAATACGCCAAGCAATGTGCGGCGCCTTGGGGCAGACAGCATGGAGGTGTTCAGCAACTTTCGACATCCGGGGGCCATTGTCGCGCCCAGCGGGCCGTCAACATAACGGCTCTGGACGAAGAGCCGACCCGCGGGGGCCCCGTAATGAGCCATATCAAGACTGTGAATTGCTGCTGAGGACAGTGCGGAGGAGAGGAGCCATCATCACTATCAATCATGATGAACACAAGTCAACGGCATCGACGTGACCACCACGCCATGAACATTCCCATTGGGAAGTCGTCGCGATGCAAAGGTGGTCGAACTGAAAGCGATGAGCTTGAGGAATGCTTAGACTTACATGCGATTAAAACAAAAAAAAACTACAATAAGCCTGGCATCGACATATTAACAGATGGCACAACGGTATTAATTGATGCTGCGTTAGCATGCACCTGGGATGCGCGAGCAAGAGTTAAGACGCAGGAGAGCTAGCTAGCTGGAATCTGATACAATTAGTACCATGGAAACCGCTTGTCAGATCTGCGACCTGCAGCGGGACCAGCGATGACCGATGCGCCCAGAAATACGGAAACTTAATTTCTACGCGCCTCCTCCTCCTCCTCTTAATGCCTCCGTGTTCGCCTGCGCCGCATTCCCCTTCCCCATCTCGCATCCAGGAATGGTTGCTTCAATGTGCAGAGAGCACTCAGATCGAAGCTGTCTTTGCAGCGCCGCTATCCGACGGATTGTGCCGACCGACTGTGCATTCGTTAACTGCAGCTAAGCGGAGAGGAATGGGCAAGGAGCCGAAGACACGCGGCGACCCTCAGCCACACTTCACCCCGCCAGCACAGCTTCGCACTCACCTAACTCAGCCGAAACTTGGACGGCCGTCCCGTATGACAATGATCCGGCACAGGTGACGGTGGGGTGGCCTGGTCACCGCACGCAGGCCGAAGAGAGGGACTGTTGAGGGAACTGCTCGGCCCACAGGCCGACGACAGGACCCGAGAGACCCCGCGAGCACGAATCCGAGCATCACCCCTCGCGGTCTTCGCGGCCCCTGCGGTGCAGCTGCACGCACTCACCGCCAGTGCCCCCAGGCCCCTCCTGGGGAAACGGAAAGGAAAAGGATAGCGCTACTCCACGGACCTCTCCGGGGGTGCGCTCTGGCCAGGACTTCGAGGCGACTCCAGCGGTGGCGACGAGGGCCTCCCAGGAGGCCCAGAAAGGGAAAACCGGGCAGGGTAGTGGTATGGGTACCTGTTCCTCCTCCACCGGTCACCTCACTTCATCGCCGCCGCCTCGACGCTCGGAGCCTCCGTGGAAGCTGCGCCTTCCGATTCGGTGCCTCCGCGGCCGCTCCCCGGCTGCGCGGCCGACCGCGCCGCCTGAGCCTTGGCGGCGGCCGCCGCCTCCTTGGCGGCCTTCACGGCCTCCTCCACGGCCGCGATCGCCTCCTCCTCTGCTGCGATGGCCGCCGCAGCGTTGTCGGTCGCACTTGCGGGGGCGCTGCCCGTGGGGGCCACCTCCGCCTCCGCCTCGCCGATCGCAGTGCTGCCATCCAACAGCCTCGAGGCCGCCTCTTCTTCCGTCGTGCTGCCCTCAAGCTCGTCGGTGAGGTTATCCAGCTCGTCGGTGAAGTTGTCCCATGGCTCCCACACCGCGTTCTCTGCCATTGCGCGGCTGGGCGGGTGTATCATGCACGGCATCTCGCTAGTGCACAACCCGCCCCCGGTGGCGAACCGTGGGCTCGAGATGTCGTAGCTGCCACCGGGCCCTTTCGCACCAGCGGTGCAGGCAAGCTGCGAGCGAAACTTGCAGCACGTGAGTGGGCCAGTGCGGAACATGTACTCCCCCTCGGTCAGGATAGAGCATTTCTTGTAGCATAATCCATTAAGAAGTTCCTCATTCGCCAAGCACGCACCTGGGAGGTGCGGGCAGATGCCATTCGCGCTGTCGCCGCTCACGTCGAAGCCACCGCAGATGCTGGAGCGGAATGCCGTCTGATCCCACTGGCATGGGGCCCTGCTGCAGCATGAGAACGCGCTGGTTCGATAAGGGTGCGTGCCGAAGGTGAGGAGAGAGCACTGCTTATCCGCCACCGTGCTCCCTGGCACGTTGAGGCGTGGTAGAATGCCAAGTGCTGCCTGGCAGGGCTTCTGTAATCTTTTGAGGCCCCCCCTCTAGGCTGCACCTCGTTGCGCGCACGCGCCATACTTCCGAGGGGTCCCTGGGCGGCCATGGCGCTTCCCTGGGGCTGTCCAAAGCTTCCATGACGGCCCAGGAGGCCCCCAAGACGGTCCAAGAGAACCCCGAGTCGCCGAACGATCGCTCGAAGACTCCCAAGATGGCCTCAAGATGACGCAAGAGGAGGTTTACCGAAGAGGCCTCCCAAGAGGGCTCCAAAGGCAAAACAAAATTAGTTCCCCATGTCCTGAGGTGGGGTTCTTGTTATTACTTGGACGCCTCCTACTCCTCCTCCTCCTCCTCCTCCTTCCTCTTCTCCTTCTCCTCCCCCCTCCTCCTCATACCCAGACTTACTCATACAAAGACTGACTCACACTCAGACTTACGCATACCCAGACTTACTCTCACACACACACACAACATTACTCTTACTCAGACCTACTCATACTCAGACCTACTCCTACTCAGACTTACTCATGGTGAGACTCACGCACGCCCCGTTCGCGGCCGTTTTGTGGGGATGCCTCAAGCGGTTTGCTGGTTTTCTGTCCCAGCATTCTTGGCTACCAGAGCAGATTGTGAGGATGTCTCAGGCGGGGCGATGGTTTCAGCTCCCCCTGAGGGGAGCCGCCAAGGTTTATCTGACGGTCCCGTTCGCGGCCGTTTTGTGGGGATGTCTCAAGCGGTTTGCCCGTTTTCTGTCCCAACATCTTTCGCTTTCGGAGGATGTCTCGAGCGAGGCGCTCATTTTCACCCCCCTGAAGGGGAGCCGCCACGGGTTATCTCACGGTCCCGTTCGCGGCCGGTTTGTGGGGATGTCTCAAGCGGTTTGCTTGTTTCCTGTCCCAACATCCTTTGCTGTCGGAGCAGATTTGTAAGATGTCCTGAGCGACGCGCTCATTTTCACCCCCTCTGAGGGGAGCCGCCAGGGGTTATATCACGGTCCCGTTCGCGGCCGTTTTGTGGGGATGTCTCAAGCGGTTTGCTTGTTTTCTATCCCAACATCTTTTGCAGTCGGAGCAGATTTGGAGGATGTCTCGAACGAGGCGCTCATTTTCACCCCCCTGAGGGGAGCCGCCAGGGGTAATCTCACGGTCCCGTTCGCGGCCGGTTTGTGGGGATGTCTCAAGCGGTTTGCCTGTTTTCTGTCCCAATATTTTTCGCGTTCGGAACAGATTTGGAGGATGTCTCGAGCGAGGCGCTCATTTTCACCCCCCTGAGGGGAGCCGCCAAGGGTTATCTCACGGTCCCGTTCGCGGCCGTTTTGTGGAGATGTCTCAAGCGGTTTGCTTGTTTCCTGTCCCAACATCCTTTGCTGTCGGAGCAGATTTGGAAGATGTCTCGAGCGAGGCGCTCATTTTCACCCCCCTGAAGGGGAGCCGCCAGGGGTTATATCACGGTCCCGTTCGCGGCCGTTTTGTGGGGATGTCTCAAGCGGTTTGCCGGTTTTCTGTCCCAGCATCTTTCGCGTTCGGAGCAGATGTGGAGGATGTCTCGAGCGAGGCGCTCATTTTTACTCCCCTGAGGGGAGCCGCCAGGGGTTACATCACGGTCCCGTTCGCGGCCGTTTTGTGGGGATGTCTCAAGCGGTTTGCTTGTTCCCAAACATCCTGTGGTGTTGGGTCCTCGTTTTGAAGAGACGGTGCCCCGCGTCTCCTCTCCTTCCTTCCTTCCTCCTCCTCCGCCTCCTCCCTCCTCCCCCTCCGCGTCAGCCACACCCACTTCGGCACACCCCTCACACGTTTCGTGGCCTTATAGGGAGCCCCACCGAGGGCCCCAATGGCTGCGTCCGCATGGCGGCACCGCACCCATTACGCTCACACGTTTCGTGGCCCCATAGGCAGCTCCACCGAGGGCCCCAATGGCTGCGTCCGCATGGCGGCACCGCACCCATTTCGGCACACCCCTCACACGCTTCGTGGCCCCATAGGGAGCTCCACCGAGGGCCCCAGTGGCTGCGTTCGCATGGCGGCACCGCACCCATTTCGGCACACCCCTCGCACGCTTCGTGGCCCCATAAGGAGCTCCACCGAGGGTTCCAGTGGCTGCGTCCGCATGGCGGCACCGCACACATGTCGGCACACCCCTCACACGTTTCATGGCCACATAGGGAGCTCCACCGAAGGCCCCAATGGCTGCGTCCGCATGGCGGCACCGCACCCATTTCGGCACACCCCTCACACGTTTCGTGGCCCCATAGGGAGCTCCACCGAGGGCCCCAGTGGCTGCGTTCGCATGGCGGCACCGCACCCATTTCGGCACACCCCTCACACGTTTCGTGGCCCCATAGGGAGCTCCACCGAGGGCCCCAGTGGCTGCGTCCGCATGGCGGCACCGCACCCATTTCGGCACACCCCTCACACGTTTCGTGGCCCCCTCCACCGACGTTTCGTCGGCCCCACGTGGTCGGGAGCTCCACCGAGGGCCCCAATGGCTGCGTTCGCAGGCGGCACCGCATGTCGGCACACCTCACACGCGTGGGGAGCTCCACCGAAGGCCCCATGGCTGCGTTCGCATGGCGGCACCGCACCCATTTCGGCACACCCCTCACACGTTTCGTGGCCCCATAGGGAGCTCCACCGAAGGCCCCAATGGCTGCGTTCGCATGGCGGCACCGCACCCATTTCGGCACACCTCTCACACGCTTCGTGGCCCCATAGGGAGCTCCACCGAGGGCCCCAGTGGCTGCGTCCGCATGGCGGCACCACACACATTTCGGCACACCCCTCACACGCTTCGTGGCCCCATAAGGAGCTCCACCGAGGGCTCCAGTGGCTGCGTCCGCATGGCGGCACCGCACACATTTCGGCACACCCCTCACACGCTTCGTGGCCCCATAGGGAGCTCCACCGAGGGCCCCCGTGGCTGCGTTCGCATGGCGGCACCGCACCCATTTCGGCACACCCCTCACACGTTTCGTGCCCCCATAGGGAGCTCAGCCGAAGGCCCCAATGGCTGCGTTCGCATGGCGGCACCGCGCGCATTTCGGCACACCCCTCACACGTTTCGTGGCCCCTGACGTCGGCGCCCGCGTCCTTGTCGTCGTCGGCGCCCGCGAAGACGGCCACGAACGTGTTCCTCAGCATGTCGGGCTCCGGCGGGAAACCGTGGCCACATAGGGAGCGCGGGCGAAAATGGTATTCGCAATTGCGGTATTCACAACTGCGTATGGTTGGGTCCTTCGCCAGGCTAATTTTCTGTCCCAACATCCTTTGCTGTCGGAGCAGATTTGGAGGATGTCTCGAGCGAGGCGTTCATTTTCACCCCCCTGAGGGGAGCCGCTAGGGGTTATCTCACGGTCCCGTTCGCGGCCGTTTTGCGGGGATGTCTCAAGCTGTTTGCCTGTTTTCTGTTTTTTTCCTTGCCTAGGCTCTGCCTAGAAGGGTTCTTACTCTCTTAGCTTAAAGGGGCCGGGCAGTGGAACACGCCCCAGGCGGTTCCCCCAGTCCCCTGGGAGCGGTTCCCCCCAGTCCCCTGGGAGCTTTAGCTTTAGCTTTAGCTTTAGCTTTAGCTTTAGCTTTAGCTTAGCTTTAGCTTAGCTTTAGCTTTTAGCTTAGCTTTAGCTTAGCGTTTCGCTTAGCTTTTCGCTTAGCGTTTAGCTTAGCTTTAGCTTAGCTTTAGCTTAGCTGTAGCTTAGCTTGAGCTTAGATGTAGCTTAGCTTTAGCTTAGCTTTATCTTAGCTTTAGCTTAGCTGTATCTTAGCTTTAGCTTAGCTTGAGCTTAGCTGTAGCTTAGCTTTAGCTTAGCTGTTGCTCAGCTTTAGCTTAGCTTTAGCTTAGCTTTAGCTTAGCTTTAGCTTAGCTTTAGCTTAGCTTTAGCTTAGCTGTGGCTTAGCTTTAGCTTAGCGTTACTGTTATTACTAATGCTGCTTTCCTAGGGGTTCCAACTCCTAGGTAGGGTCGCACTGGGATAATTTTTTGTTCCCAGCATGTTTCGCTTTCGAAGTAGATTTTGAAGTTTTCTGTCCCAGCATTTTTCGCTTTCGAAGTCGATTTGGAGGATGTCTCGAGCTAGGTGTACTTTTTCACCCCCCAGGTGGGCCAGATTTTGAGGATGTCTCGGTCGGTGGCCAGACTCGTGGGCACAGATTCTCCTCAGGATGCCACAGGAGGCGCCAACAGGCTCCAGGAGGCCCCAGGAGACCACATGAGGTCCCAGGAGGCATCAGGAGGCCACAGAAAGACTCAAGAGGCCACAGGATGTCCCAAGAGGCTCCAGGAGGCCCCAGGAAGCTCCGAAAGGCCTCAGGAAACCACAGGAGGCCCCAGGAGGCCAGAGGAAGCGCCAGGAGGTCTCGGAAGGCAACAGAAGGCCCCGAGAGGCCCCAGGAGCAGGAGGCCTCAGAAGGCAACAGGAGTGGCTCCAATCCCATGTGTTTTACGTATGCTCCTATAGACTGGGCCTCACCTGGAGCACGAATCCTTGATGTCATACGTATGTTTCTATATATTGTCCTCCTCCTGTGTATTTATGTTCCTATTGGGCCTCTCCTGGGGCACGAGTCCTTGGTGTTTTACGTGTGTTCCTATAGATTGCCCCCTTCTCCTGTGGCTCCAATCCGCAATGTTTTATGTATGTCTGTTGCTATAGATTCGGCCTCTCCCGGGGCACGAATCCTCCCTAGGAGGTCCCAGGAAGCCCCAGGAGGCCCCAAGAGGCTCCTGGAGGCCCCAGGAAGCCCTACTGAGGCTCATTCACACTCCACTTCATTCTCAGTTAGATTCATGACCAGATCGTCACAACTGAAGCCCGTTTATATTCGAAAGCTCTTGCGCCTAGACATTCACGGCGGACAGGTCCATGCGAATAGATGCACATATGGGGAGCTCCACGCAGTGAATAATTGTCCATTCGTTTTTGAAAGATTTGGGCATTCTCGCCTTTTCGGCTTCCCGACGCTCCAACACGGCCCAAAAGGCCCCCAAGACCCCCCCAAAACGGTCCACCGCCACAACACGGCCCAAGAGGCGCCCAAGACGGCCCATGCGGCCCCAAGACGGCCCTAAAGAGGGCCTCAGAAAGGGAACACGAACAGAACATCTGAGCATTCAGCCCCAAGGGCCCCCCAGGAGGCCCCAAGAGACGCTCAAGAGACCCCAAGAGGCCCCCAGAGGCCCCCCGAAAAATCCAAGAAGCCCCCAAGAGGCCCCCCAAAAAGCCCACAACAGGTTTCAAACTGCCTCTAAGAGGCCCCCGACAGGGCCTCCACGAGATTCCAACGAACATCCACGAGGCTTATTTCCAACAACCCAGGCACGGTGGCGGGACTTACCATAGGCAGCTGGATAGCACAGCCCCGCGTGCTCCTCCTCGTCGTCGTAGCAGAGATTGCCATCATGGCGGTGAACATGAGGGAACAACATCTCCCTCAGTTTCTCTTGGCTTAGATTTTCTGTTGCGTTCGGTAAGAACTTCCTCCAGTGCGGGTCGTTCACAGTTGTCTTGTTGTAGCCGAGCTTGAACCTCTGCTCCAGCTTGGAGATCTCCTCACTCAAGTTCTCGTTGTTCATGATGCCGTTGAAGTCGCTGATGCCCCCGCTGACCGCCTTCGCCGCCTTTAGGGGAACTAAAAACCGCACGAAACCAGCGCGACCCCAATCAGGGGAAAGCTTCCTACTGCATAGGCGCAATGCTCGGCATTGCTTGGTATATTGCTTGGTCTTGCTTGGCATTGCTTCGAACGGGCATAGTCAGAATACGAAACACCGGTCACCGGGGGCGGGGAACCCGGTGAACCCGAGGAACCCAACGGCCGGGACGGGGAACCCCGGGAACCTGAACCCAAGGAACCAGCCAAGGAACCCGGGGAACCCGGGGAACCGTGCATGCAGGCCTGCGGGAACCTGGGGAACCCGGGAACACGAGAAACCCCGGGAACCCGCCAGGGAACCAGGGGAACCCCACGAATTTGGGGAACCAGGGGAACCCCACAAATTTGAGGAACCAGGGGTTCCCCTGCAGGGGAACCGGGAACCCGGGGAATCCAAAGTAAGAACCCGGGTAAACCGAGAGAGCCCGGGAACCTGGAGAACCCGAGGAACCTGGGGAACCCGGGAAATCCCCAGGGAACGGACAACGTAAGTCCCCAAACCGAGGTACCACTTGGGACGGCTCTGGCGCTGCCCCTGACGCGCTCCACGCGCCAGGGACAGGGCCCAGCGCCGATCCGAGAAATCCGCGCGGACCTCCGAGAGATTACGGTCGTAGCGTGTCGCGGCGGTGGCCCCAGCGACTCGCTATGTCCTGCGAGCGGATAGCGTGCCTCTCCGCGTCGCAGGACGGGAAATGCTCGGTGCATCGTCGCTCGGGGACCCGGAAGTGGTTCGCATGTCGGGCCGCTGCGTGGTGGGCCAGAGCCAGCGACGCAACACGCTAAGCCAAAGTTCCTGACCGTATGTCTATGCATGTGGCGGGTTATGGAAACCCTGAACCCAGCAAAGGTCGTCATCTCTTCGAAGGGGAGTCATTACTTCTGCCGGCTTCCGCCGGCCTTTCGCCGCCTTCCGCTGGCGGAGACGGCCCCGCTTTACTTCTGGCAGATGCCGCCAGCCTTCCGCCGCCTTCCGCAAAACAAGACACGATAATCTCTTCGATCCTCGAAGGCGAGGCCCTCTCTGGAACGCCCCATGTGTTATGCTCCTCCAGCCTTTGCGCCAGTGAGCATGGCCTCCGCCGCGCTGGCGAGCGCGCCGAACAGGAACAGCCCCGTCGCCTCGCCCGCGGCCGCACCTGCCGCGTGCCGCGGCCGCGCCTGCGCCCTGGCCAGCAAGGCGACCGCGCACGCGGCGCACAGGGCGGCGGCGAGGCCGAGCACGCGGCCTCCGCGAGACGCCCCCGGCCGGGCGGCGCGGGCGGCGCGGGCGGCGGCGGCGGCCGCCGGCAGGCCCCCGTGCTCCGCCTCCTCTCACGGGCGGCGGACGTATCTCGCCATGGGGGAAGCGGGTCCTGAGAGAAACGGGTCCTGGGTTTTGTCGCCCTTTGCGGGCTCCCGGGGCCCTCCATGGGCCCTGGGACTGTCAGAACACGACTCAGGATGAAGGACTCGTCCTGGGGGAAGGCCCCAGGGTCCGGGACTCGTTTCCCTCAGGACCCGTTTCCCCCATGCCATACATATCCATTTCCGCGCCCTCGCGGTCTGGATTCCGGGGCGCGATCACGCGGATGCGCGGTGGCACGGATACGCTTCGCGCGCGGGGAGTGGCGAGAGAGCGCCCCGTGTCCACGGGGTCGCGGCCCAGGGGCCTGCCCCGCGAGACCGTGGATACAAATGTGTTTCTCGCCCACGATCCCTCAAGACTCCGGTCCCTCATGGAGATCCCCCCTCCTCCCCAACGGGGCCGAGTCGTGCTCGAAAGGAACGCTCCTTTTCGACGCCCGGAGTGGGCACAGAGAAAACAGATACGACGCCCCACAGCAAATGCTGCCCCAAACCGACAGCGGCCGCCGTTGCGAAGGCGCCATGCCGTCGTTTCCGCCCGCGATCCTCCACGCTGGCCGCGACGGGGAACAGCGGCTCGGCCATGCCCTCCTCCACGGCGGCTGCGTGGCCGCAATCGGTGCCCGTCATCGTGGCCGCGGGGGTGGCGGCGAGGGGCGGGGCTCCTTTGTGGGCAGCGGGCGGCCGAGGGAGGAGCGTGCTGGGCCAAAGCGATTGAACAAAAGCGGCTACGGCAGGAGGAGAAGGAGGAGGAGGAGAGAAGGAGGAGAGAAGGAGGAGGAGGAGGAGGAAGAGAAGGAGGAGAAGGAGAAGGAGAAGGAGAAGGAGAAGGAGAAGGAGAAGGATAATAATAATGAGAAGGAGAAGGAGAAGGAGAAGGATGACGAGAAGAAGAAGAAGAAGGAGGATAAGAATAAGGATAAGGAGAAGGAGAGGGAGGAGGAGGAGGAGGAGGAGGAGGAGGAGGAGGAGGAGGAGGAAGACGACGATTAGCATGCTGGAGTGGAGGAAAGGGTGTCCTGGAGGTTTCTCGCCGCTCTGGGGCACCTGGGCCCTCCAACGGCAACGAGAAAGGTCCAGATCCCACCCAGACGGTTCAAATCCCGACTAGGCGATCCAAATCCCAAGCGGTAATGCAAGCGGAACGGCCCAGATCCCATCCATTTTGCTCGAGTTTCCAAGTGCCGCTGCAAATATTGTTTGAGCTTCCAAACTCTTGGAAGGCGATACGTAGGCGCTTGATAAGCGTTTCATCAGTGTGTCCTTCAAAGCGCCTCCTTGGTTTCGCGCGGGATCCTCGACGGTTCCTCGAAGGCTTCCGGGGGGATACCCGAGGAATCCAGAGAGGCCCCTGAAGAATCCGAAGGGATTCCTGAAGGAGCCTCGACGGAACCCGGAGGATTCCTCAAGGATTCCTGGGGATTCCTCAGGAATTCCTGAAGGATTCCTGCGGATTTCGGAGGACCCCTTAGGATCCCTGAGACTTTCGGAACATGTTACTGAGAATTCTTGGGGGGCTCGTACGGATTCCTGAAGATTTCGGAGCGATGCCTCTGGATAGCTGTGAAGATTCCTCAGGGGTGTTTACCGTCATAAACGTGTCACAGCCGTTGCGAAGACTTTTCGTGTACGGTGGGAATGGGTTCCGCATGCGTTTCTGAAGCGTTCCGCATACGTGTCGTACGCATGTCTGCAAACTTTCGGTCACGCATCCCATACGTTTCGTATACATTTGATACACAGTTCGTGCACGTTCCGTCTACGCTCGTATACACTGCCGTCTCGGAACGCTTTGGCTTTGAGCCTATACAAGGCACACCTGGAAAGGACTCGCATATAAAACACACAATGGAACAGTGTAGATCCCAACCGCGCACAAAGAAATCCGACCAAGGTCCGGTAAGGGAAACCATTCGGTGTTCATAGCCAAGACGACCATGCGATTACGAAGCTTTACATCGCGTTGCCCGGTGGTTGGGATCTGGACCGCTCCAGTTTTCTTAACGGTTGGGATCTGGATCGTCCAGTTGGGATCCCGACTGTCCGGTTGGGATCTGAACCCATCGCGCCCCCAGGGACCGACTAAAAATTGACTCGGGATGAAGAGCTGGTCCTGGAGAGAAAACACCAGGGACTAGGACCAGTTTCCCTCAAGACCCCTTCCCAGACCTCCGGTGTCGTCGTTTTTTTAGAAACGCGGACCGACGTGAACCCCCAGAGGTCTCGACCCTTTCCCCACGGCCGGCTTTTCATCCTGAATCGTTTCTGACGTTCACTGGGGCCCGATAAGGCCTGTGGAGGCCGAACAGCGCCGAAAACCTCCTGCCACGGCGCGTGGGGGTCAGCTTGAAAGGAGGACCGGAAAAATCAAACTGCAATCGACGATGATTTGCCGATAGAGCGGCGAAAGGCCCAAATAGCGAAAACGCAGTCCTGGGTGGGGACGGCTATAAAGCTCTTATCGGCGATGAATGAACGTTTGGAGGTCGATGCGCCCCCCCGAGCCCATCACCGACAAATGTGGCTTCGGAGTAAGAGAGAGGACCAGGAAGAGTAGAAGGAGAAACATAACATAACAATGATAATTATCGTAATGAAAAGAATAAGATCAATAAGAAAAAACAGCGAACACAACGTAGCGAAGAGGACCCAGTGCCCGGGATGGGGTCGAGAGCCTCTCGCGGCCTGGGGCTGTGGAGGAGAGGTCCGCGGCCGTCTGAGGCTTGGGGCAGAGGCGAAAGGAGGCACACGAGCGACGAGATCAGAGGGGTCTTAGTCGAGATGGCACAGCGACCCTACGCGGCAGCCTACGCGGGCCGCCAGCGCGGCGCTCTGCTTTGGAAACCAGGGCGCTCACGCGCGGCCTCACGGGGGCAAGCTGCGCGCAAATGCCCGCGAAGCCGAGGCCGTCTTTCTCATTCCGTCGGACGACGGCAGGATGAGGACAAATTCGGGAGAGGAGAACCCTCAAGAGGCCAACATCCTTCCCCAAACCATAGAAAACAAATGGGTCTTACCTTCCCGTCGTTTCGTTTCCCATGGGCGTCTGAAATCTCAAAATGGCTCCAAGATAGCCCAAGAGAGCTCAAATACGTGTTGATTCCCCTCGCTCGCATCCCTGCACTATCGGAGGACGAGGAGGCAAGGATCCTTTCGCGTGGCGAAAAGCTGGGATTCAGCCGCAGGCAGGCCGCCGAAAAGCTGGAGTTCAGTCGCAGGCAGGCCGCCCGGCCCGCACTTTGACGGGCGGGACACAGAACTGCACGGCGGGAGGGGGTAAGTTTGCAGCACAAGCCGAACAGGCTGCGGGAGGGAATAGGAAGAGAGAGAGAGAGAGAGAGAGAGAGAGAAAAAAAATAAAGAGTGAGGGAGAGAGACAGAGACACACAGCAAGAGAGAGAGAGGAAGGAAGCAAAAAAGGGCGAAAGGCAGACCTGACACGGGGAATCCTGAAGTTACAGCTATGCACTAACAAAACCATTCCCCTCGCTTATATCCCTGCACTATCGGAGGATAAGAAGGAAAAGGATCCATGTTCGTGGCGACAAGCTGGGGTTCAGCCGCAGGCAGGCCGCCCGCAACTTCGCTGCCCCGCCACAGGGCCCTCGCCTTGAAGTCCACCCACCTGAAACCCAGGAGGTAAACGAGGGCGGCGTCGGCAGCTCCGAGCATCCACCAGAAGAACCGCACCGCGATGCCAGTCGCTGGCGCGCCGTACCTCCAGGATGACCTCACGCCGACGGCCCGAGAACCACTGGCGCACCCACCATCCCTCCTCAACTTCCTCCCACACGTCGCCCGAGTTCGCACCCTCGACCCGGGGGAGCCAGGTGTAAAGGGTCTCCCAGCTCCCCTGCCGCCGCCACAAGAGCGATTCGGAGTCACGTTCCTCCGTCTTCGGTCGCGCCTCGTCCGCCGAGGCCGTGCCCTCCGGGGTTCCCGCTGCGGGCCCGATACGGATCTCCTCGACCCTCGGGGTGATCCCATCAGCGGACCCTTCTCCCGGGGGTCTGGGTGCTTCCCCTAAGCGGGCTCCGTCTCGGAGGGGCTCCCGCCTGCGTTCTGCCACCCGCTGGGCCAGGTCGAAGAAGCCTCCGAACCACGGCGAGGGGGGTCGGCTCTGGGGCGGCACTTCTGGCCGATGGCACTCTGGCCGCTGGGGTTCCCCTCTCCAGCGGGGCATCGTGGCTCGCGGACGGGGCCGGAGCCAAGGAAGCGGCAGGTTTCTGGGGTGGCGGCCTGGGCTGCGGCCTCCGGCCGGCGGCGGCCAGCGGGGGCGGGGGCGAAGGGGTGGCCCGCGCCCCGGGCGACCCGCCCTTCCTTCCAGAGCGAGGGCGCGGGGCTGGTACTTCAGCCAGCGAACCGCGGCACCCCGGGGGTGGTCCGCGCCTTTTGCCCAATCGCGGCGCAGGCGGTGCCGCCTTCGGCGGGGGTGGCGTGGGAACCCCCGGCACCGTCCCCCGGCCACCGTCCCCCGGCCACCTGGGGCCGGTTTGGGGCCTTCGGCTCCCCACCTTGCGCGGTTGCCCCGGCGCCCTCGCGCCGAGACGGAAACGCGGGCGACCCGGCCTGCCCCGTGGTCGCACCTCCAAGGCCAAGGAGTGACAGTTCCTCGGCTTGCCCGCCTTGGGTCTCCTCCAATGGCCTGTCGCCCTCAGTCCCCCTCCCCGTCCACTGGGGAATGACTGCGGGCCCTCCCGAGCCTGCCGGCTAGCGAGGCAAGAGGCGCCATTAGAGGCACCAAGGCGGCGGCCGCGAGTGCGGCCACCATCCAGGTTCAGGGGGCGCGCGGGCGCGCGAGGCCCCTCCGTGAACTTGCAACACAAACCGAAAAAGCTGCGGGAGGGAAAAGAAGGAGAGAGAAAGAGAGGCGAAGGCAGACCTGGCACGGGGAATCCTGAAGTTACAACTATGCACTGTTCGTTGTTCAAACTTGTTCCTATCAGGCAAAGCGGACGACTGCGTGGTCGCGCTAATCCTGCCCTGCGGCCGCCTGCATACTGAAAAATGCCAAGGCCTTAGAAGGAAGGCGACAAGAAGTGCTCCGCACAAGCGCACCTTAGCGCCCAGTGCTCTGGCCTTGAAATTCTCACCCTTGCCAACACACGAAGTGCACAACACGTGCACCACACAACGTCATGGCAACACACGAAAGGCAACCCCGTGCTCAAATGCGAAAAAGCCTCAGCGAGAGCGCGAATCCCAAGCACATTCGGGTTGCATTCTCCCGAGGTGCGCGCACAAACTTCGGTCTCTAATTCATCGAAGCGCCAGGCAAGCCGGATGCAGCCCGCAAGCCTTGGGAGAGAGCGAGCGTGTGAAAGGTAACGAGTCACCCCCCTCTCCTGCGCTGGCCGCGCGGAAGTGAAACAGGAGAAAGGAGGAGGAAGAGGAGGAGGAAGAGGAGGAGGAGGAGGAGGAGGAGGAGAAACGGGCGAGTGGCGGCGGCGGCGTCTGCGCCCCTGGGCCCCTGACAGAACGCTGGGACGCACGTGGTTGTCGCTCTCTGGGGCCTCGCCGGGCACGCCGAAAATTCATAGATTTTCAACGCGGCGAAGAGGGGTGGGAGGAGGAAAAGAAATGAGCGCAACGGCCGCGCCTGCACGGGCGCAAGGCAGGACACAACGAGC